GAAAGAAAGTCATTTGGCACCAACTGAATTCTGTTTTAAAATTTTACTCCGTGCTAAATCTCTGCACAGTGAAACTGCAATAGTTAGTAATATTATTTTTTTCACAAGGACAAAAATGAAACTTCACTAATTATTTATACAATAAAAAACACTTCTATAAAAAGTTAGAATCCCAATACATCCCAACTTTTATCCGCCAGAGGGAGTAATAATAATAGTAATAATCTGCATATACTATATATATATAACTAATACCTCCATTTATTACTATTAACTAATACCTCCATTTATTACTATTAATAAATAATAATAATAATAATAATAATACATATATATATACACACACACACGCACATCAATATATATATATATATATATATATATATATATATATATATATATATCCAAAATACACCAATGGACTATAATCCTTACCCATCTAGACTTCCTATTCAAGTAGTCCATGAGACCTATTTGGTTGGTCCATTACTATTACCCAAACTTATTCCTTTAAATAAAAAAAATAAAATAAAATAAACAATTAAACTTTTAAGCTAACACATAATTATAAACAAAGATATAATTAAATCACATAAATCACATCAAAAAAATAAACACAAATAAATCACATAATTCATATCAAACAATTAAATTATTTAAGCACATAAACACATAGCTACATAATCAATTAAAATGCAAAGAAAATAATTAAACAAATCATTTAAAAATAATCTAAAAATTAGGGGTATTACAGGTAAAGTCCCATATACCGGCTCCAAATATTTCAGCCCGAATTGATGTCCCTGAAGGATAATCCATCAGTACTGCAATTGATGTTTCTAAAACACACCAGAAGCGTGGTAAGCCTATTAATGCAATAAGATATTGTTCCCAAGAGAAAGAAAGTACAAGAGAAATCAAATAAAGAAATTGGCGTTCTTGAAGAGGCCACACTTGTAAATGGAACAATGAAAATAATTGATCAATCTAAATTTTATAAGCAAGTAACCCCAGAATAGATACATGCCCCAGAAGAGGCAAACCCTGGAAGTGGCATATGCCCCGGAAGTGGCACAAGCCCTAGAAGAGGCACTGGTACCTGAAAATAATGAGATCTCAATAAATTATGGAGAATTGTGGGATAAAAATACAATTATTATTAACGATATATTCTCCTTTACAGTTGCTCTTGATATTGCAGGAGATAATGAGGATCCTGAACCTCAAAACATTGAAGAGTGTCGACGTAGAATTGATTGGCCAAAATTAAAAGAAGCAATACAGGTAGAGCTATAGTCATTAGCAAAATGTGAAGTATTTGGATTTGTAGTCCAGACACCTGAAGATGTCAAGCCTGTGGGGTACAAATGGGTATTTGTACGGAAACGTAATAAGAAAAATGAAATTCTAAGATACAAAGCCCGACTTGTATCTCAAGGTTTCTTGCAGAGATATGGTATTGATTATGAGGAGACATACTCTCCTGTTATGGATGCAATCACATTTCGATTATTGATCAGTTTGACAGTCTCAGAAGGTCTGGATATATGCGTCTGATGAAAGTATTTACGGCTTATTTATATAAATCATTAGATAGTGACATATATATATATATATATATATATATATATATATATATATATATATATATATAAATCCCTGAAGGATTTAAAATGCCTGAAGCAAATAGCTTGAAACCACGTACCATATATTCGATCAAGCTACAATAATCCTTATATGGATTGAAGCAATCCGGACACATGTGGCACAATTGTCTCAATGAGTATTTAATAAAAGAAGGATATGTGAATAATCCAGTTTGTCCATACATTTTTTATCAAGAAATCAAAATCTAGATTTGCCATTATAGCTGTATATGTTGGCGATCTAAATCTTGTGGGAACTCTTAAAGAGCTCACCAAGACTACTGATTATTTAAAGAAATAATTCGAAATGAAAGATCTTAGTAAAACAAAATTTTGTCTCGGCCTGCAGATTGCACATTTACCAAGCGGAGTTGTTATTCATCAATCAATATACACTGAAAAAATCCTGAAGCACTTTTATATAGATAAACATCGCCCTTTGAGTTCTCCAATGATTTTCCGATCACTTGATGTTTAGAAAGATCATTTTCATCCTCAAGAAGAAGACAAAGAAATTCTTGGTCCTGAAGTACAATATCTTAGTGCAATCAGTGCTTTTATACACCTTACAAATTGCACCAAACCTGATATAGCATTTGCAGTTAACTTACTGGTATGAGATAGTTCTACACCAACTCGGAAACATTGGAATGGGGTTAAGCACATTCTGCGTTACCTTCGTGAAACGACTAATATGGAGTTATTTTATTTAAGAAAATAAAAGCCCTAGTTGATCGGATATGCAAATACATGTTATCTTTCTAACCCACATACAGCCCAATCACAAACATGGTATTTGTTTAATTGTGGTGATACTACAACTTCCTCAAATCACTCTGAGATACTCGCAATTCATGAAGCAGTTCGAGAGTGTGTTTGGTTAAGATCTATGGTACAACATATTCGGGAATCATGTGGACTATCATTAATCAAAGATAGCTCAACAATATTATATGAAGATAATGCAGTATGTATTACACAGATAAGAGGATGCCAAATAAAAAGTGACAGAACCAAGCACATTTTACCAAAATTCTTTTTTACATACGAGCTCCTGAAGAGCCGTGATATTGACGTTCAACAGATATGCTTGAGCAACAATCTAGCAGATTTTTTCATTAAAGCGCTTCCAACCACAATATTCAAAAAACTGGTGCATAATATTGGAATGTGTATACTCAATGATCTTTAATGTTGTATATGGGGGAGCAATTGAATTGAAAAGGTATTGGCATATTGTATACTTTTTCCTTCGTCGAGATTTTTTTCCACTGGGTTTTTCTAACAAGGATTTAATGTTTTAACCCATGTAATACCATTTTCATACACACAAGAATATTATACTATTTTTCCTTCGCTATGATTTTTTCCTATTGAGTTTTCCTAATAAGGTTTTAACGAGGCATATTTTTAATGTAATGTAGTGGACCCCAAGGAAGAGTGCTGTAATTATGGGCTCCACTTCATTTATTCTTAGTGGAAATTTTATATCGATGTAATATGGATACATGTGTAGTTAGCACCAATTTCCACGATGTTAGATTGAAAATGTGGCAAAACCATGATGAAGAAGACTAATGCAAATCACACGAGGTGGCAAGATGATATTAGCTAGTTGAATTCATGTATATATATAAGATGTGTATATACATGAATTCAAAAAAAAAAAACGATGTTGTGTATGAATAAATGGCATTCCAAAGAAAGCAATTACAACTCTCAAGCTGCTGCTTCTTTTATCTTTCTTTTTGCTATGTATCACTTAACTCTCATATTCTATAGTTCATATATTTATAAGAGGAGGAAAATGTCTTTCTCACCTTTTCTACGTCAAATAGGAAGATGAAAAATTTGATGTTTCTTGATTTCACCATTATACCCTTACATATTAAAAATTAGATGAGTTTTTTTTTTTTTTTTTGCCAAGTAAGTAAAGGAAGGTATCATTAATAGGGGCAAAAAAGGAATGATGAGGATGACATTTTTAATATGTAAGGGTGTAATGGTAAAATCAAGAAAGATCATTAAGCATATGCTAAAATCAATGAAAGATCATTAAGCAATTTTAATATGTTTGAATAATGAGTTTTTTCTTATATATATATATATATATATGTTATATATACATATATAAATATATATTAATAAAATTTATTCCATATGGGTGTGTTTGGTTGGATAGAAGTAGCAAGAAAGGATCCGGAAAATATTTAAAAATTTTATGCATTTGTTTAGGATGAAACGAAAAGTTTTCAGGAAATTAGAATAACTAATTTTCTCTAAAACGATTCCAATATAAAACACGCGAAATTTTTTATTTCTCGGAAAAGTTGGTAAGTTATATTTTAAATTCATATTATACCCATAATTTATCAGTTGGTTTCCTTTTATCTTTTTCTCTCTTTTTCACTGAACTAATGAAACTAGGGAGATATTCTTTTGAGCATTTTTTTTTCTATTTTTATCTTGCATACAAACTTGACGTTTTATTTTTTTATTTTTCATTTTTTTCATTTCTCATTTTTTCCCCTTCCAAATACGTATATACATAAAACATATTATGGTGGGTATTTTTTAAGTGCATCATATTAATTTACAATATGTATATATATCAACTAGATTTTAGAATTTGGAAATTAGATTTATTATAAGTTTTAGGGAATATATACATTCCTTAAATAAAATAATACAAAATATTCTATAGGTATATAATTCTAGTTGAATTATTCATAAACTTAGTTGTCATGTGTGAAATTCTATTGGTTTTGATTATTCTAATGCAAACAAAAATTTAGTTGAACAATCTTAATCCTATTTGATTTTATCAAAGTCCTTACAATTACTATGTAAATTGTAATGTCTAATATATATATATATATATATATATATATATATATATATGTATATGTATATATATATGTATATGTAAACGTTAAAAAATTTTTGAATAAAGAAATTTAGGTGATTTGGTATTTCATACAAGTTTTGAATACTATTAACAACAAAATTTTATGCATGAATTAATTTTACCCAAATTTATTTGTGTTTTTAGTATTTAAAATTCTAAGAATAATTTTGACAAATACAATTATTATTATTATCTTTTCTCTCTTTCATTCAATCTAAACTAACGACATAATATTTTTTAATTTTCTTAAAAAAAATTTATACTAATCAAACGCACAATGAAAACAATTTTTTTTTATCATTTACTTTACTTTCTTTTACTTTTACTTTTACTTTCACTTTCCACTTTTTCCGTATTACCAAACTGACCCCGTATGTATGTATGTATGTATAACCATTTGGGACACTTACTGTTCTTTTTTAACCGTTGTAAGACAAATACTTGATTCAAAACAGTGGTTCGAACATCAGAGGCATTTTCTGGGTGATGATTCTCTCTAAAAGGCTCATAACTATCACAACCGTTAAACATTTCGGTGCTGGACTATATAAGGAATTATCGGACTCGTGTTCTGTTCGCAAATGTTTTTCTTGTGTTGCAAATCAACTGTTTGATGAAATTCCTGAGTACAGATATGCTACGGAACTAGCCAAGCATAGCAATGCTAGTGAAGCATTGGAGTCTCTTGGCCAGATGGATGGGTTTGGAAAGAAACCCACAAAGTTTATTCTTTGTAGCACTCTTAATTCTTGTGCGAAAACGCTGAATTTGCACTTGGGTTTGCAAATTCATGCTCGGTTAGTTCAGACCGGTTATGAGGAGAATTTGTTCATAAGCAGTGCGCTTGTTGATGTTTACGCAAAGTGTGGTGCTTTGGCTGATGCAAGGAGTCTGTTTGACAGCATGAAAATCCACGATCAAGTATCCTGGACCTCGATTATATCTGGTTTTTCGCAAAATGGGCAAGGAAGAGAAGCCATTTTGTTGTTTAAACGAATGTTGGATACCGAAATCAAACCTAATTTCTTTACCTATGTTAGTGTTATTAGTGTGTGTACGCAGCTGGAAGGAGCATTTGTATTTGGTGCATTGTTTCATGCTCATGTAATTAAACTTGGGTGTGAGACTAACAGTTTTGTGGTCAGCTCTCTAATTGATTGTTATTCAAAATGTGGGCGAATCAATCAAGCTATGTTGCTATTTGATGCCACCACCACAAGGGATAACATCCTACTCAATTCTATGATCTCAGGGTATTCTCAGAACCTATGCGGCCAAGAGGCATTGACCCTGTTCATGGAAATGCGGAATGACAATTTGAGTCCTACTGACCATACTTTGACCAGCATTTTGAATGCTTGTGGGAGCTTAACAGTCCTCCAGCAAGGAAGACAGGTGCATGCTCTGGTTGTTAAAATGGGGTCAATTACCAATGTGTTTGTGGTTAGTGCTTTGATAGATATGTATTCGAAATGCGGCAGCATTGTGGATGCTCGTCGTGTTTTTGATGAAACAATCAACAAGAACAGCGTCTTGTGGACTTCAATGATCACTGGATATGCTCAGAGTGGAAAAGGGTTAGATGGTTTGGAACTTTTTGATTATTTGGTGAATGAAGAAGGGGTTGCGCCTGACCATATATGTTTTATGGCAGTCCTGACTGCCTGCAACCATGCTGGATTTCTCGACAGAGGGATTGAATATTTTAATAAAATGAGGGATTATGGTCTGGTTCCCGAGTTAGATCATTATGCTTGCTTGGTTGACCTCTATGCAAGAAATGGACATCTAAGAAGAGCGAAGGAGTTAATGGAGGAAATGCCATTTGATCCGAACACTGTAATGTGGAGTTCCTTTTTGAGTTCTTGTAAAGTGTACAGTGAAGTAGAACTTGGGAGGGAGGCAGCATATAAGCTCTTTAAGATGGAACCAGGTAGTGCTGTCCCATACATAATGCTGGCAAATATTTATGCCGGAGCTGGTTTATGGAGTGAAGTGGCTGAGATTAGGAATTTGATGAAACAGAAGGGAATAAGAAAAAATGTAGGATGGAGTTGGATTGAGGTAGATAAGAAGGTTCATGTTTTCTCAGTGGGTGATTTTTCTCACCCTCAATCACAATACATCAATGCAGAGTTGGATAAGCTGAATCTGGAAATGAAAGAGGCTGGGTGTATGCCCAAACTGATACGAGATTTAGAGGATTTTGATGATGAACAACTATAATGATGTACAGGTTAAAATCAGCAGCATTTCAAGAGAGATTTAAGGTTGAAGTGGAAGTTGATGTGGAGGGGCAAGTTGAGGTTGAAGTTGCTGAGGGGTGTACAATTACCCAATTTTGTGATAAGATTATTGATGTGTTCATGAATGAGAAACCCAAATCAAAAGAGTGGAGGAAGTACTTGGTGTTCAGGGAGGAGTGGAAGAAATAAAGGAATAGCTTCTATAATTGCTGCCAAACCAGGGCTGAGGCTGAAAATGATTCTGAAATGAAGCAGAAATTACTTGCACTAGCAAGAAAAGTGAAGAAGGTAAAGACAATTTTATTTTATTTTTTAATGTGCATATAGATATGTTTGCAATTATGCATATTTATTTAGGGTTAGGGATAGATGCAAATTTTAGTGTCCCTTCCAGTTTTGCTTGATTAGGTGTGAGCTTTGCAGATTGATGATGAAATGGAAACATATACTGAACTTCTTAAGGAGTTACAAGATAGCCCCATGGATGTAAATGCAATTGTTGCAAGGCGGCGCAAAGACTTCGCGGGCGAATTTTTCCGTCATCTAACGTTGCTTTCAGAAACCTATGACAGCTTGGAGGACCGTGATGGTAACAAAATGAGCATTTTATGCAGTCACATTGATATTAAAATTAATTTGGTGGATTGAGATGGATAATTACCTGCTAGTTAATTGTCTAGTTCGGATGCCTTTATTGATCATCCTTTTTGATGCTAGTTGCAGGACAACATTTTATTTTTATGAATGTCTTTTACGAACTTGCTTGCAGCAATTACTCCATTTGCCTCTATTTGTGGCAATTTTATCAAATTCAGGTTAATTTTCTTTTTCTTTGAAAAGGAAAAGGAAAATGAAAGATGCATAATAGTTGATTTTTTTATGTATGCAAGTGGACTACTTGATGGTGGTACTCTTGTAAGTGTATTTGGATACCAATGGTAACTACATTAGGCTATTTTTTAGCATAAAGCTGTAAGTTGTTATTGCAATGCTACATATCACAATGCTCGCTGATATATACTGGTAACAAACTCATTTACTAAACTTGAGAAATGACTCCAAACTAGTATCTTAACAAACATAGTCGTATTTATCAGAAATATTTGGATACATCAGAAAGAGTGGATTTGCCTGATTTCGACATGATGTGTTTATCATATCTATAGATAAAACAATTTAAATCAAGGCTAAACAAAGAATCAGTAGTTAAAGTATTTCCATGTCTGATCGTAGCAACATTCTTCAACCTAAGAAAGAGTGTGCCTGAGAAAACCTCTAAAGATCTTTAATTTGTAATTATATAGCCTCCGCCAACAATAAAGTTGTTCTTCAAGTCCATCCATTGATTTGTTCAAGGAGTCACTTTTAATGATTAGTTTCTTTGAAACAGGCTATGAGCAATCTGTTTTGATGCCATTTTAGTCTTACTGATCTGACTTTTCAACAGGGAAGTGATGAAATAAATGGATGGAGAATACTATCAGGACAAAAAAAAATGATGGAGAAAATTATCAATATTGTTTGAAGTCCTAAATTCTTTCCATCAATATATATTCAAAAGTATTTTGGAATCAAATAGAAGATAATTTTTAATTTTAAATTCAGTTTAATATAATGTGTTAATGTTATATAGGAGCAGATTTTTGGAAGCATCCTTTCTGCTAGTTGTTAACTATCTGGAATTAAAGAATATTGTTATATTCTTAGGAAAACTAATGCTAAAATATTTTTAAAGCTAATAAAGTTTTTGTCCTCTGCTTTGCTATATTTTAGAAGTAGCTTATAACATTTTATCCACCTTTCTTTTCTTTTCTTTATTTCGTTTTCTTTTTTCTCTTTTTTATTTTGGAAAACATCATTTTTTTTTCTAGATTTTATCCATCATTTTATCCATCTTGCTGGTTACTTTTGAAAAACTGTTTTGCTATTTTGTCTGAGTTCTTCTGTTACAAATCATGCAGCCCTTTTTAATTATTTTCTCTTCCAACACTTGGATATCTCTGTAAGCATAAAACTGATTCATATCATTCCAATCCCATTTTAAAATATTTCTCCTCACAAGCTTTGTTGAATTGACAAAACAACCGAAAAAGTCAACTCCTATTTCATGAGACATGGAATTTTATCAAACATTTTAAATGAAGAGGAATACAAAAGGAAGTTGAGGATCCTTCCAAATACTGATACAGCCACGGGAAAGCAGAAAACACAAAAGAATGTTGCATCAGCTTACCGTGACCAAAGATGCCTAACCAAAGTTATTATGGATGATTCAAAGTTGCAATCTAATATTATTGTACTATCTTTTGGGCAGCGGTGGCAAGGCTTGGGGCTAGATGCTTGTCTGCATCTTCTGCCTATGATAATACACTGGAGATAGTGGATACACTAGATGTTGCCCAAGCCAAATTTGGTGACATCCTAAACTCTCCTTCAGTGGATGTGGCATGTGAAAAGATTAAGAATCTTGTTAAGGCAAAGGAACTTGACTCTTCTTTGATCTTATTAATAAACAGTGCTTGGGCTGCGGCAAAGGAGTCGACAACCATGAAGAATGAGGTATAGATATCAACCTTCTATTGAGTGCTTACTCTGCGCATTCCATTGGAATTTTCACTTAACTAAGGTTGCTTTACTAGATTAAAGCTAGGTAGAGGAGACTTTGATATGAAAGGTCAAATTGACTGGTTTTTTTATTTTTGTTTTTTGTTTTTCTTAATCGGTATAGTCTGTTTATAGAAGCCTAAAGGAGGCAAACAATGTAGAGTGGACTGTGCTGGAGTAAACAAAACTAGGCTCTGGCCTGAAAGCTCATCTTACCTAGATAATTACATAAGAATCACTGTAGAAAGAAGTATCTCCCTTTTTTAAAAAAAAAGAAAAAAGATGAAGAACTGAACATCAACTGTTTCAGCTTATGAATACCCAATTCAACACCATCAGAAGACCACCTATTTCGCTTCTTCCGGACACTCTACATACGACACCATGGGGCAGCTTTCTGAACCTGCCTAATCATGTATCTGACACATTCCCTTGCCAGAAGCGAAAGACTTCATGACTGATCTAGGTATCACCCACTATACTGCAAAAGGAGACAACAAGAGAAAAGTCCTCAAGAAACCCGGGTGTAGCAGAAAGTGATTTGCAGTCTTTTGAGCCTCTTTGCACATGGAGCACCAAATAGTAAATACTTTGACCATGCACCTAGATTATCAAATGGTCAAGATAGTCAACAAGGTTGCTGGCCGTGCAAAGAAAGCTAACTTAGGGGACACTTTGGTATGGAAATACCTTTTCAAGGATATTTGGGATCACCATCCCCACACTTTCTTATAGCAAGATCTCACCATTCCTAGAATCATTCAAACCCCGGGGCATCCTCTATATCACTGTTCACCATTAACTGCGATATCATAAAATAACTCAGACAGCTGCCACCGACTCTGTTACACAGTCCTACAAGGCTCTACTAAACTTAGGGGTTCACCTGACACCGACTCTAAAAGTTATTTGGATTTTAAGCTCACGTGACTCCAACTCTCAGATTCATTTGTTTCATACATTTTCAAAGCACACTTTCATTACACACATATTCATCTCCTATTTTCTGTGAGTCCATACAAGTATTGTGCTTTCATTGTATTTATGGGTTCTGGCAACTTTGAACGTTATATGTTTGAAGAGTGTAATTAAATACAATTTAACATGTAAGATATTTAAGCCTTTAGGACCTTTATGAAATTATATCATACTATTTGTGTCTAAAGGAAGACTTGATGAGCTAATAATGTTGTTTTATTTGTTTAGAAAGCTTTACATTGGTCCAAAATCCATGGTAAGAGTTACCAAATGGCCTTTGGCCCAATGGTATAACCTCCCCATTCTCAAAGAGGAGGGGAGGGGTTTGAGCCCCAGCCTGGGCAAAATGTGTGCTAGTAACAATCCATTGTAAGAGTGTCATACCAGAACTATGGAGTACCAAATTGTCAATCATCTACTGGATGTGGATATTTTTCTCATCTAGTATTGTTCTTGCAACATATTCTAAATGAAACCAGTGTACAACATGGATGGAACTGTGTAATGAGTTGGATGTGGTACTTAACATAGATTGATACCGATAGTAGGTTTGCATCAAAGGGCATTTTTTGCCATGACACTTGCCTGCTGCTCGAATAAAGCTTTATCTATCTCATACTCAAGTTCTGTTTATCCTCTGGGTTATTAGTCTACAGATGGATGTCCTGGATGCTTTTCAAAACATATTTTTAATATCAAAGTAAATTCTTAATCATATGAAAACTCTCAAGGTTGTTAAAAATTGGAAAAAGTTGTATGATAAAAATGATGCTATATATAATCAATCTCTAAAGTTTGATAGAAATCCAATTTCTGAAAGTCATTTTCAGCCAAAACTAAATGAAAAATTCTTCTGCAAGTGAAACAATAAACTGAATTAATACAAAAGGAAGATGATAGATGACATCATATTGGACCCATATGCATATGCCTATTGGCCATTTTCTTTACATGTTGGTTAGTCAGCTTATGCTTTCGGCATGAGCAGCATTATAATATGTTTTAAAAAATAACCTTAGGGAGTTGTTTATACCTTGATAACAAGAGCTAGTAATTTGTTGTATGAACTACATCTACACTATTCCTGAATTTTCCACAAGTTGTTAGAATCGTTGTTGTACATATTTGGTTTGGTGGGTATACCTCAATGAGGGCTCTATAGCACTGGTGTGCATCACCATCCAATTGAAGGAATGCAGTTTGATCATCCCATGTACTCATCGGCAAGGTTTTTATGTTTAATGATCTGTGATGCACCATTCAATAGTGGATTATCTTATCCGAGGTCCAAATTTACAGTCTTCAAAAGATCAGTTGAGTGTACTTTATAACAGGAATTAAGGCAAACTATATTCACATTTATTCGTATGACCACTTTGTCTGCAAACTTTGAAATCTGTAAATGATTTTACATAATAAGAGACGGTACTATTTGCATTGGCATCTTACTTATTTCTAAGGTTATGAAAATCTCAGTCCACTGATATCATTCTTATGGAACTAGGCACTCCTAAGATAATTCAACTTTAGCTATTTCTTGGTTGAGAGAGTAGAACGCAACAAATATACAAGCATAAGATGTAAGTTATGCCGACAGGAACTTTGAAGAATGAACAATTGGCATTTTGAGCATGTCTAGATGCTTGAGTTTGGGTATTGAGAGATGTATACAGTAATCTCACTCCCAAAACAGATTTTTTTTAAGTTGATTTTTAGCTTCGTACTTGCCTTTACCTTGTTTGCCATTTGCTCGAGTGCTAGTTCCTTTATTTATTTATTTATTTTATTTTAAAGAAATTGTTGAGTTTAGACTTATAAGTGCAGGTGAAGGACATTATGTATCATTTATACAAAGCCACAAAGAGTAGTCTAAGGAGCATAGCACCAAAAGAAATAAAGCTACTTAAGTATTTGCTGAACATCACAGACCCCGAAGAGCGATTCTCGGCATTGGCCACTGCCTTCTCCCCAGGGGATGAACATTAAGCTAGAGACCCTAATGTTATATACATGTAAGGGAACTTCATGCTTTCCCTGTCATGAATTTTCATTAATTATTGACAGAAAATCTATTAAAAAAAAAAATTTATTTTTAATGGTGGTAGAACAGAACTCCCAAGGAGCTGCACAAGTGGATAAAGATCATGCTCGATGCATACGATCTTCACAAAGAAGACACCGACATTAGGGAAGCCAAGCAGATGACTCAACCTGTCGTGATCCAGAGGCTCTTCATCCTTAAGGGGACAATTGAAGAGGAATACTTGGAACAAGGCATTAAATAAAAAAAGATTCCAAATCAGATGAGATGTAAATTGTAAGGTACTTTTTTTCTTCATCACTAAATCTATGTCAGCTGTCATTATCTGCTAGAGGTGACCATGAATTTTGTCCATTCGGGCTCAACTTGATTGTTTGTGGGTGCAACTCTAGCTTTGCTTGGGATCGTGTGCTCAAAAAGCTGAGCTCAGACTTGGCTTATCATGATTTTAAAAAGTTGTGGTTTGGCTCTGCTCTCTGCTCAGCTCATTTTAATAAAACGAGTCGAGCTCTATATCATGTGCACGTTCAAGTTCGGTTTGAGCTTGTGTTCATGATTGTTTGGCTTGTTTATTAACACAATATCTGCAATAATAAATTATATACACATGTATATCATTATATTTTAGTTTTATAATAGCAATCATGTATGAGTCTACATGAGCCTATGTTCATGAACATGAATGATCCATACACGAGCTGAGCCCAAGAATGTTTGGGATTGGCTCGTTCTTTAAACAAGACTAGAAATTGAGCTCGAGTTCAGTTTGTTTACATAACGGATGAGCTCCTCGAGTTGAGCTTAAAACGAGCTGATCACGAGTTGCACATAAACAATTCGGTTCATTTGCAGCCCTAATACTTGTCACTCCCCAGAAAAGGCGAAATACCAATTTGCTTTATTGGCAATCAACATTTGTCCAGTTCTAGTTAAAAATTCATGGGAGTGTGACTTGCCGCTTGTTTTTCTCTCGTTGCTGACCAATGGTATTGAGCAATTATTTTCGGCAGGTCAATGTGGGTTTAGCCCAGCCTATGGACTAAGCATTGGTGCTCCATTATAGACTAAAAAGTCTAACAATGTAGGCTCATGATCCTACACAATGCCAAGTAGCATATTTGAACAACTAACAGTTTCATCTATGTAACCATTAATGAATTGTTTCGTAAAGCTGCAACTTTGAAAATAGAACAAAAATTAGACTCTTAACTTTTGTTATGAATTTTGCCACCACTAAGTTCTAATATCTTCATAGTTTTGAATATTTTAAAATTTTATTGCAACTATATTTGCATGCATTTCTATCACACACACGGATACTTTGTTCAATGCTACAACTTTTGCCTGCCTTAGGATTTTAAGAGGCCTCAATGCCATATTGGGGTTAAATGAAGGATGAAGAGAAATATTAGAAGAAGGAAAATGTCTTTCTTACCTTTTCTAGGTCGAATAGGAAGATGGAAAAATTGATGTTTCTTGATTTTACGATTATACCCTTGCATATTAAAAATTAGATGAGACTTTTTTTCCCGGCAAGTAAAGGAAGGTATCATTAGTAAGGGCTAAAAAGTAATCATGAGGATGACACTTTTATTTTGTTGGGGTGTAATGGTAAAATCATAAAAGATTGTTAAGCATTTTTAATATTGTGAGAGATCAACCAAATAATGGCTTTCACTATTTCACAGGAATGCTAAAATCGTGAAAGATCATTAAGCATTTTTTATTTGTTTGAATAATGAGTTTGCTTACAACATTGTGAAATTCGTCGTGATATTGAAGATAATGACCACCTTTTCTTTAACTGTCCTATTCTTTTCTGAATCTGGTATTTAATTAACAGCAAATGCGGTCTGCAAGTTTTTTATTTTTATTTTGGTTAGGTAAATACTCACACACACCCACAAATGCCCTTCAAGGGAGAAGTTATACCAGCTGGGGTAATGGCCCAGTGGTAAATATGGTTTGCAAGCAAGTAACAAAACTTGAGATTTCTTGGGTTCCCGAGCTGCTTCTTCATTGAAGGGTAATTCTTCAGCTTGAAGAATTGCAAAATTCTCTTTAGTACGTGATACCTACATTGTTTGCTTGAGATTCGAGTATTTGTGTGCCTTCTCACCCCGTGTTTAAAAGAATGTGTATAAAAGACTGAATGTGCATGACAGTGTTGTTTTCCTTTTTTCCTTCAATTTATTATTATTATTATTATTATTTTATTATTTTTGTAATAGCTGTTATCTTCATCTGTCATCTTGATTTGTTAATGTCACGTCTGCAGCGACTTTGGAATATTTTAACTGGTTATGCCGGCCATTCGAAGTACTGCATTTCATCGGCATTTTCAGTAACGAATGGGAAGTATATATAGTTAGTTAGTGGCTGAGGATACTTTTGTATACTTGTGGGAACTCCAGACAAGGAAAATAGTTCAAGAATTGGACTGTAACACTGATGCCATCACATCAGTGTCATGCCTCACCCAACGAGAGCATGACTGCATCTGGTGCACATGGAAATGACAAAACAGTGAAGATCTGGCCTCTGGAGGACTGATTTGTTTCTCTTATGAAACACTTTGTAACATCGATGCACCTGCTGTGATTGGCGTTGCCAGTGGAAAAGACTAGAGAAAGATTCAGGGGAATGATTGATCTATTATTACGGTTACTGATTCAGAGCACTCGCGACATCAATTCTATCCTCTAGGAGCTTTGTTTTTCATGTTGATGTATTCGAGAACATTGCAAATTTGAGGTCAATAATATTTATGCTTTCAATTGCTATTAATATATATGGAGAACACCATATCCTCTGTGCTTGTGCTTGTGTGTGTGTGCATGCTTTTGTATATGCATCTCTCAGTCCATGAACTTTCTGATTTGCAGAAAAGCATTCTTGTTATACTTCTTTCAAATTGGTGGAAGTTTCCCTGTTTGAGTGAGAATATTTAATATAGTTCAACAACTTTATATCCCAAAAGAAACAGCAGCATAAAAGGAAAGGCTCAATGAACACATTCAAAAGACTAAGGTAACGCGTACCTTTAGAGTAGTCTTGGTGATGGACAATGTAGTACTCTCGGCCTAAATTACACAGTGCGGGAGCGCGAAAGTAGTAAAATTTAAGTCACACAGAGTAGGAGAGGAAATGAGAGCAAGAACGCGTATGAAATGCGACACCCGCTGAGGATAGTTGTGCATAGGGACGAACCTAGAATATTATGTGAGGGGGGCGATTATGATTTTTTTAAATAATTTTGGAGGTGCCAAGGGTAAACTCCCCATGTAGGATTGTGTGACTTGGCTCTTTGCTAACGGTAGCATATATTGTGTGACTTAGAGTATCTATTAGCCCCCCATCACCTAACGGTGAGTATCTATTTGCTAGCACTCTCATACATGTTGCAAAGTATTTACTCGTGTTAGTAATCTCAGTTAATATGTATTGGTAATTTTGTATTGAATCAAAATCCTCTTCGGCGCAACAGTGTATCTGTTGCAGTTGGTGAGCTTTGTTTGGGATACATATTACCAAAATTTTTAAATGTTGGCCTTACATCCTAATATTTTCCTAACGTAGATCTCAACTTTCTCCTAACGTGCGTCCTAATACTTTCCCAATATACATCTCAACACTTTCCTAATACGTGCTCCAAAAAAATTCACTGACTACAACAGATATGCTGTTGCGTTGGAGAGGATTTTGTTCCTTTGGTATTGAGGGATGTGTCTCAGTAGCAAAGTTACTATAAACAAATACTGTATTAATGCAATTTGAGCTTTCTAAATCATTTAATGATTTAACACTACATGACATCATGGAGTGTCTATAGAACTGGAAAGTGTAGGGGCAAATCAAGGAGAATGATAAAACTTATAATTGGAAGTATTTATTTTTCATTTCTCATTAAATTTCTGTTCAATTCTTTATTCAAATTTTTTGAATAATTCAATAATGTTCCTTTATATTTAAAATTTGGAAAGGACTTGAAACTTTATATTCTTTATTGTTTTGTCTATAAATATTACTTGGTATCAAGTGCTATAATTTTCCTTCAAACTTTTTAATGCAAGTGTCTCACAAGATACAAGTTAATGATTGTAAATAATATTATACTACTAAAGAGTAAATAATCAAACTTTAACTTTATTTTATATAAATAACATCCGCCATTAAAAATTTTAAAAATATAAAATTTTCTTGTATTTTAAGTTACTTGGAATTAATAAAACTGCTACCCTTGTTGCAGCTTGATGTGCTTTAATTGTAGGTACAAGTAATTCTAGGGGCGCTACTGCTTGAGGTGCAACACATACTTAGGGAGTTTTGAGAAGCTTGTGCCAACTTGTGGTGGCTCCTTATCCCTATGAGGTTTCTTAAGTCTCAAGTGAGCTCTAGACTATTCTTTCTAGGTCGTTTGGACAATCTTGCCCTTTTTTTTTTTTTTTTGGAGGCTGATGTTCGAGTAGCCCATATTGAGTTTCGAGCTTAATTTATGGGTGCATGTTTTTCAGACACAATGGCAAAGTTTGTTTTTCGTTGGGATGGTTGAATTATGTTATTTTGTGACTTTATGAAAACTAATGTTGTGCATTGGACTGCTACGTACGTGTGGCATTTAATGTATAATTGAGACATTTGTTCGTTGATCAAGCGGTTATATGAATCCAACATATTCTTAATCAGTGATTACAAGTGTCAAGTTAAGAATTGATATGTTTTTTCTTCATTGATGGGATTTTGATTGTGATGATCAATGTGTTAATGCTTGCTAAAGCTGTATTTGTCCTTCAGTGGAGATTTATTGACATGTTTGGGGTGTGAAATTATGTTTTCGCCTCTTGCTTATGAAAATGTCCATATTAAAGGATAGGGGCAAAATGAAATGTCTACATTAGCTTTGCACTCTTCTTGCAAGTAGGAAAAATCTGTAATTTTGGTATTATAATTTTGATCAAAATTTAATTTGAAAAAAATCAAAACTTCATAAGGGTCAAAGATTCAAAATTATTATTATTTTTTTAAAATAAAATGAGGTATACACTGAGTCATATAGAGCATGGATAGGAGCGAGGGCAAATTTAAAAAAGGGAATGTGAGAGCTGTAGAATTAAGTTATAAGTAGTGAAAATTTAAACAAAAATGTACACAGAGTATAAGAACAAGAGTGCACTAAAAACGTAAAAGTAACACCATAACAAAAAAGAAAAAAAAAATTATGTGACTTATAAGTATACAATTGGTATTATTGTAACACACTGGACTTTGTCGAAGAAATAAGGAAACACGCTTTAATTTTGGAAGAAAAAGATTAGAAAAGTAAAAACCAGTAATGAAGACCAATCATTACTGGTTCGGTTCCTCTGTTGGATTTAGGTTAACTGGTCATTAACGGGTTAGAATTAAATAACAGGAGACCCCATTGGATTAGATAGATAGTCCTTGGACGGCATTAAACCAACGACGTCGTTCGGTCACGTCTTCTTGTTTCGATTTTCCATAGTTGGATCCGGATCTCACCGCACTAGTCTGCGGAAGAGAGAGAGAGAGGAGGAGGTGTAAATCTGAAGTCAAGTCCGGACAACAAAGCAGTGTGCGTGCAACGGTCGGCGTATCTCATTATATTCTTCTTCACGAGAAAAAGCACAAAACACACAGTACACACAGTCTCTCTCTGCGCACATTCACACCGACACCCCTAAGCACATGTATTTCAGACACAAACTGACGGATAAAGCTAAGAGGAGGAAAAGAGGGTCCAATCTAAATAACCAAATGCCTTTACCTTTTCTTCCTTTTTGAAAAAAAATGGACGACGTCCTCTGTTTCTTCTCGAAGGTGCGTTCGGCGATCTTCATAAACATACATTTTTTTTTTTACTATCAATTGATGCGTGTACTATACATAAAGTAATTGATAAAACATTCCTTTTATTTTTTAATTTTTTGAATTTTGAAGTACCATGTGTATTGTCTGATCTGGGTTCGGAATAATCAAACACAATTTCCCAACACTCTTTTGTCAATACATCGGAATTGGGGCAGACCCAGTTTCTATTTTTTGATATTTTATTTGTTTTGTTCAAATATATGTCTTGATTTCCTCTAATTGAAATGAAGCATTTTATATGTGGCTAAATTTATTTATTTTAGCTTTATATTACAGTGTTTCTACAATTTCATGAATACCCATATCAGGTTTTATGCCCTTTTTACTTATCAAAAAAGAAAAAGGGTTTTATGCCCTTTTTAATATGTGCAAAACCCTCTGTATTTCAGGATAACTTGATTGTAAAGGGTCCAAAGAAATCTCCATTGGTATTGAGAATGCTTGTCTTAACGTTTGCAATGGCCTGTGGTGTTTATATCTGTTCAATCTGTCTAAAGCAAATCAGTACTCACACCAAGGCCAGATTCCCAAATGTTCAAGTGGTCGAGAGGCCGTGTGAGCTACCCAATCTAGAACAGTGGGAGAAACCTTATGTGCACTACCCGCAACCGAAGACTTTCAGCAGGTAAGGCATTAACTATGGTGCTTCTGAGTCTGGCTTCCATATAGATTCACTGACTTGTGGTTTTGGTGCGTAATTAGGGCTGAGTGTGCTTGCAATCCCGTGCGTTTTTTTGCCATTTTGTCTACGCAGAGATCCGGTAGTGGATGGTTTGAGACATTATTAAATAGTCACATAAACATTAGCTCCAATGGAGAGATCTTCTCTGTTAAAGTTCGGAGAGCTAATATTTCTACAATTGTCGGAACTTTGGATAAAATGTATAACCTGGACTGGTTAACCAGTGCTTCCAAGAATGAGTGTACTGCTGCAGTTGGCTTGAAATGGATGCTTAATCAGGTTAGTGCTGTCCTGAAAAAATTCAAATTTCTATTTCCTCTATCTTACCATTTAGTTATGCATGAATTTTGTCGGATGGGAGAACATGTCATGAATCTTAATTGTTACTACTGCATTGTTTATATATAGTAGATGTCAATGTCGAATTAATCACTTCTCTTTCTTTTGAGATTTATTTTAATGCTGTGTCTGCACTTACCACTAGCTATTATTTTCAGAGGTATCACCTGCAAAGGAGAGGTGTAGGGTTCAGTTCCTGTTTGAGATATGCATATTTGTTACTTTATCATATATACAAGGCTTATCTCTTAACTTGATGATGGTACTAATTGTTTGGTACAATGGTAAAATGTTCAGGCTCTTATGTGTAAGAATTTGATTCCAATCATGAGAGTAGTCGCTTTGTGTAATTAATACCAACGTTTAGGTTTGTATAAGTCTGCTCCCAGCATCCTCAGTTAATGGGGACCATACTGGGTAATGACTCTTTGAACTTGATGGTGACCGTCGTTCTGTTTTTTTCTTTTTCTTTTTTCTTCTAATAATTCTGTCACCAATCTCATGCTAAACCTGACAAGAGAATCCTAGGTATGAGAATCATTGTTGGTGTTATGAGTGGATCTCAACTAGGCATTTCAATTGTTGTGTTACCATGTGTAAATAGGGATGGCAATTTCTCCCGACCCGGTGGGTTTCCACCCCGCCCAGTCCAAAATGGAACGGATATGGGTAGCCCTTTTACCTCGCAGGGGCGGCTATGGGATTCTAAAACAAAACCTAAGTCGGGTTCAGGTTCAGGGCCAGGTAGAATACTGGCCCGCCCTAATTATATAGTATTACATAATATCCTTAACCATTCCTTTGTACTCCACATATATATATATATAGATATATATATAAAGGTATTTAACATTTTAACCCTAAATCAAAGTATAAGACCCAGCACCGCCTCACGATCCTCTCCTCACTGCCTCAGCCCTCACCACCGCCTCCAACCCCAATCCACCATGATCTTCGACGATGAAGAGGCTTTGAATTTCTCTCTCTCTCTCTCTCTCTCTCTCTATATATATATATATATATATATATATATATATATATATATGTCATGTATGCTTACTTATCAAAAAATATATATGTTATGTATGTCTCAAATTCTTATTTTGTTGGGTTTTGGGTTGTATTGGTTTGGGGATGTGTTGTTAGTCTTTCCCAAAGTAATTCTACTTGAGCCCCAAGTAATTGTCTAATAAGGATTTGTATTACTTGAGCTGTTTGGAGAAGGCAAAGAAGAAAATAGAATGAAGTGGCAAGTGAAAAGAGAAGAGAGTGGGTGGGTGCGAAGGGGCACCAAGAGTAGAGAGATGTAGCTTCATAGAAATTGGTGAGTGTGGGGTGGGTAGAGATGATGAGTGAGTTGGTAGAACACTGATGACGTGAAGTGGTAATCCGTGAAAGGCTTGAGTATCCAAGTAGAGAGTGTGAGTACACAATTTATTGTTCGAAGTTTCTACTTGTGTAATTTCTCATGAGGCAGTGAGTGTGAAATTTCTTGTCTTCATGGACGTAGGTCGAGTTTGATCGGTCAAACCGTGTAAAATATTATGTTATTATGTATGCTTGTTTGTGTCTTGCTTCCATTGTGCCGAACGAAGGGGTATAATTCCCCAAAAGTAAGATATTTAACATTTTAACCCTAAATCTAAGTATGAGATCTAATGTTGCATCACGATCCTCTCTTCACTGCCTCAGCCTCCCCACCGCTTTCAACCGCAATCTGCCTGATCTTCGACAATGAAGAGGCTTGCGATTTCAAATGACCAAAAGACTAGCGACCTCCGATGACCAAAGACCAGTGTTCTGTCTTTGGTAATTATGTATATGTATATATCATACCACGTATTAGATAACCCTTTGAACAGATCAAGAAACCGATCAACTCTTCGTTCAGAAATTTCTCACTTTATATGCATACATGTATAGAGTTTTTATTTTTTATTTTTTTATACCCATATGTAGATCTATATATAGTTTTTTCCTTCTGTCAAATCTCAAAATATGTATTTCTCTCTCAAAATTTATAGGTAGATTCTTATTGCAACTGGAAACAAATTGATGAAGATTAAAAAATCTGTATTTTTTGTTCAGTTTATCTCTACATTTGTTTGTGAAACGGATTGTGGCGGAGCGGGAATGGGTTCTTTGGTATTTTTTTCAGGACAGGGATGGGATCATGCGTAGAAACCCGGGATGGGTTTTTAACGAGGATGTGATGTATAGTATTTTGTACTGGGGAGGAGTAGGGTTCAGTCAAAGCCGTCCCAAACCTGCCCTATTGCCATCCCTATATGTAAATAAATTGTTTTGAGAATTTAGGGTGATTAGGTAAATGTGAAACGACTTACATTCATGTTGTATTTGGGAGCATCGAATCGGCTCCTTGAAATTGGAATTGGAGAAAAATTAGTTGAAATTTTGAACTTTAATTTCTCTAATTCCAAGGTGCCGATTCGGTGCTCCCAAACATAGCATCAGTGCCAAAAAAATCAAAAGAAAAAGAAAGGTAGGGAAGTAGAAGAGGGAGAAAAGGACATCCAAAATATGCTAAAACAGGGAGGAGGCTAAGGAATGTTCTGGCCCTTATGCCAGGGTCCGTGCTGCTATTTATAGAGCTTAGAGCATGTGTTTTGCAGGTGCTATTCCATGTCTCGCAATGTGGTTCCAACGCGTGTCCCTCTCTCAAGCATATTATGGGGAGACACGGATGTCTCTTTCCTTCCTAAGACTCGCGAGTACCTTGTGGTTACCCTCTTTTATCCCATACAAACAAGTCCTACTTTTAATCCACCATGCCTCGACAAATCCTCCTTTACGCCTGGGTCATGATGCCTTGCAAGTAGCCTCACACCATGATTGTTATTGTTGATGCAAGATTCTGCTGTGATCGGGAACGACATCGTACCTGAAAAGAAGATAAAAAGTAATTGGAGAGGCACTGGTGTGGTGCCTAGAGGTCTCCGACGATCAAGTTAGTACCAGATCGGGAAAGCAAAGGAAAGGTAAAGGACTTTAGCTAGGGATTTTTTGTCGTACCTTTTCGAGTTGGAGCCCCCTCTTTATAGAGGCAGGTGGTAGCATTAAAGTAAGGAAATTATTCCTTTTACTTCTCGAATACGGATGGGTAAGTCATTTATTATCTTTATCCCTTCAATTATTGTAACCCATCCAACCTCTTAGCTTTTGTGCCAGTCAAGTTCCTTTTGGGTGAAGATTCTGTATCATTTTCCCCCATTCTCGTAATTGCATGTCAAATTTAGAGAATGTTAGTTGCTTTGGGTCCCGCCTTAGCTTTAACCTGACAGATTAGTTGAATAATGATATAGAGAAACAATTCAATTTTTGTTACGCCACAACAATTATATATTTTACTAGTATTTTAATGATATAGAGAGACAATACAATTTTTGTTATGCCACAACAGTTATATACTTTACTAGTACTTTTTTAAATGCTATGAGCACAGAAACATTATATTAATATGCAAACATGTGTATATATATATATATATATATATATATATATATATATATAAAGTGTATGCGCATGGGTAATAATTTAATTCAGATGTTAAAACAGTAGGCTTCTTTATATATATTACTTGTTGAATGTAGACGTAAGAGCTAACATAGCTCAACTGGTAAGAGATCTCCTCCTTTGAGCTCAAGCTCTAGAGTTCAATTCCAAGGAAGAACTTTATTTTTATTGACAAAATAAAGAGGAAAGGTGCTGGGTAATGCCCAACACCAAGAAAGTGGGAATTCCTATGCCAATCATGACGCGGTTCCATAAAAAAGGAAAGGTGACTACTAAAGTGATGGGGTTCCAGAAAAAAAGAAAGGTGAATATGAAATCTTCTCAAGTCTGAGCTTAAAATGGTATGAATCATACTTGATTTCATCTATCATCATTTAGGTACATGCATACACGTTATTCATGTTTATATGTTTTTGTTGCATGGTAAAACCTAAGGGTGTTTAATTTATTTGGTTTGCTAATTTAGGAAAAATGAGTTTTCACAAAAATATATGTGATATGTTAATATTAAGATTCTAGAGCTTTCTCTTAAATATACATGACATGTATATACACGTATATTTCTTGAATTTACATAGAAGGTTTATTGTGTGCTTCGAACTCTTTTTGCTAAGTTTTTAAAGTTTTCTAAACTTAAGCATGTCTTTTCAACATCAAGAAATTTTTTTTTTCCCATAAATTCATCTATGCTTAATTTGTTAAGTTTTATTTTGCTTTAGACACATATTTTGAGTATGCATCAAGAAAACATTTTCTCGGGATCTTAATGGAGTATTATGATGTGTAGAATGAAGTCCAGAATACTTGAGTCGATTTAATTTAAAAAAAGATAAACAAAAAACAGTAAGTTGCGTATCCATCGATTGAACCCTGCATAGCATCGATTGATCGAAACTTCTTAAATGTTAGATCCATCGATTGAACCTTGCGTAGCATCGATTGATCGAAACTTCTTAAATGTTAGATCAATGGAACATTTTTTTAAACTAGGGATTTGTTTCCTTAATGAGTTTGCTTGATCTTTTTGTGTGATATTAATGGATCACTTGGGCGTGATGCAAGGGTCTAGCTCTAGACTCCTGAACCACCTATACGCGAGTCCTATGAGAGACTTGGAGAATTCTAAGAGGTGTAGCACCTCATCATGACTGTGCTGCTTTAAGGATTTCGTGAATCGTTGTGTGCGCTCGTCTACGTCACCCTTGTTATCGTCATACTTTGGGAATTTTGGAATAACATACCCTTGAGGATACGGGGTTTGAGCAAGACTCTTTGGGTACGGTGGCTTTGATCATAGGACCAAAGCACGAACTACAAAAGGAGAGTTCTATGTGAAAAAGTCTCTCAACCTTGTCTCAGTGACAAACTTAGGTGAAGGATTGATCAAGGGTGTGGCCGGTGTCAGT